CAAATACAAATCAAATGGAATCTCGATATTTGAACAACTTAGATACAAACTTCAAAGCATGATTACACCTATCTAGATGATTTTCTTATTTAAACCCCTTTAAGCTTTTTTATTGTGATTTAGAATGGTACATCCTACATCCTACATGTGGAGTGTAAGTTGCTAAGTTTCAACATATGAAATTATTCTTGTTTTTTATGTTAAAAAGCTCACAAAATGCTTTGTTATTGTTAGGTTGCAACTCTTGGAGAAGGTGTATCTTTAGAAGCTCGTCTTCTGAGCAGGCAAACATCAATAAATTGAAATGTTTCTTTCTTAGTTTTACTGCCAGCATTTGTAGCCTAATTTCTGTTGTTTATTGTACCCTGCAGGAAGGAAGCAGCCCTGCAGCAAAGGGAGGTTTGTTCCACAAAGAGTGCTCTATCTTTTAATGATACAGGATTCTGCATGCATGTATATTAATTTGCACCATAGCTATATTGAAAACCTGATTGTGCACACTCTTGCACTCATATATGCACGTCTATACATGCTCGTTTCTCCTTGGTTCAGGCACATGATCTTCGAGTCTGTCAGAAATGTACTTCGGATATTATGCACCTTACATTTCTGACACAATAACAGCAGGTGTGCTAATGCCTAATACCAGCTTGACGTACTGCACTTAAGGGTACAAATTCCATCACTTCTCCATCGAACTGGCCTTCCACGGAATTGTCATTTCATAGTTTTCTCCTGTTGAAGAATTAAAACTGATATGGTGTAATAATGTACTGCCATATCACCATTTCCCGTAGTATGCCTGGGTATAAAATTCATTTAAACTCTTTATTTATGGTCCTATGATCCTTCGAGTTGACCATATTTCCCCCGAGATTTTTGCATATTTCCTAATAGATGCTTTACCTGTTTGTGAAATCACTTCCATATTGGAGCATTCACGCTCCCCTTTTGGGGTCTTTGGCAACACTCATCTGACAATCTGGTAGATGTCTTAGGACTGTTTTCAGTCATTAGCATCTAGTTATTGTCATTAATTTCTAGGATTTCCCTCAAACCAATTATCAAAATATCATTTCGAACGTCCGAAACATTTCCATTTCTAAGAAGAACTAAACGAATTATTGATTGAATTGAAATTCCAATTCTTTGAGGTATTTCGGAATGTATTAAGTTGTTTCGAGATATTTCAATATGTTTCCACCAATGTTTTGAAATGCGTCAAAGTGTTTCAAGATCTTTAAATATATTTAGCCCAATACTTTGAGATGTTTTGAAAATAAATCCCAAAATTTTGTATCTGTTCCAATTATGTTTCCAAAATATTTTTATTTCTAAGGTGACCGAAACAATATGCCGAAACAATATTTTGATCCTTGCCTCAAACAAACCATTGTTACATCTGAGTGGTACGCTAAACCAACCAACTAGAAAGATTGGCCTCTCCTTTGGGATATAGCTATAAGATCTATTTCCTTTTGGGCGGACAAGAAAGAATTCAAATGACGTTGATCCCGCAATCTAAAATGCGACTCCAAACGAACCAAAATTTGTTGGCACTTTGCCTTCTCAGCCTAGTGTAGATGAGATTACAGTTTACCTTTTGCTTGGGTACAATTGGGCTAGACAAGGTGGATGATATTATCTTCCAAGTAAATAGTGGATGCTTATTTCCCTTTTATGGTCAAAGTTCGTTGTCATTTACCAAGACACAATGTACGCATCCTTTTATGGTCAGAGTTCGTTGTCATTTATCAAGACACAATGTATGTATCTGAATGCAGATGTATTCACTGAGTAATAGTTGAGGAGAATTGGACTGATGATATTCTACTGTCATGATGCTTGGCAGTGAAGGTGGTGAATGATTGAGACTAAACTTTAGAGAAGATCAAACAACTTTGCAAACAATTTGTGGATTTAGGTGCAGTGTTAAAAGGGACGAACAAACAATCGTGATGTTGTGGTTTGTATATAGAGCAACCACTTTGTGCAAATAATGCCAATGGGTAGTTATGTATTCTTTCCACCCCTGCCAGTTCCCTTGATTAGCAGGGACCTAAAACTTAGTAATGGCCACTTAATTGTACATTTCGTTTTGCTTCTTATATATCTGAATACCAAGATTGGGTTTTCTAATTTATGTCTGCCTTGAAGAGCTTGACAATTATCGATGCGAACAAGAAATAGGCTTTGGGAAGATGATTCACTTCCCAAATTTAGTAATACAATCAACTTTTGGACTTCTATTACCAAGAATAAAAACCACTTCGGATCCACTCCATCTCCCATTTCCGTATGTTTGGCATCAATTTCAACCTTGGTCATTGCATCCCTTAGGCTTTGGGAAAGTTTTCCAAAATCTAGTAAAAAAATCAACTTTTGACCTTCTATTAGCAAGAACAAAAAACCACTTTGAGTCCACTCCATCTCCCGTTTCTGAATATTTGGCATCAATTTCAACCTTGCCCATTGCATCCCTTAAGAGGGTTATCTAAGCCTGCTCTTTAAGGACACTCAAAGTTAGCTTAGTAGGTAAGTTTTATCAACAAGGTTTTACGGCATAGGGTGTTGGGCAATTTGAGTATGTTGAAAAGTAGAAATAAAGATGTTAACATGAATTGGTAGTAAAACAAAAAAATATAGAATTAGGAAGAATATATATTTGTGAAACTGTTCGACCTAGTAATGCACCAATGAATTGAATTGATATATATCGATGGCAATGTGAGAGGTAGAACTTGGCCTAAATTAACTTTGAATGAAATAGTAAAATATGCTATTTAACAGAAACTTTTACCCTTTGAAAACGTGGACCATCGAGCATTTTTAGGGTAAGCCAGTTAAGTCACTCATAAATAACCATATCATCAAATGAGATTATAAACTATCCACTGGCCTATATCTTGGAGGTTGAATAAATAAGGGTCGGATTCCTAGATAATCGCTTTCTGTGTGGACATTTTTGTTCCAAGAAGGTTATGATCTTTAGTCAATTCAGTTTTGCTATGAGTATCAATTATTGTGATAGTGTTTAAAAATATAGAAGGCCATCTATTTCTGTGCGGAGTCACTAATGATTCTATGTTGTAATCTTAAATCTGGTAGCCTTTTAGATGTATGATGGATAATATTTCTTAAAAGTTCCGGTATATAAAGTGTTTAAATTGTTTGGATGACTCTTTTGGATTAGTCAATAAAGGCATAGGGCTACATGGATGAATGCTGTCAAATTTGTTACAAAATGAAACAAATAATCCATGAGGGAAGCGATGAGCTTATTAAAGCAGAAATCCTGGTCACTGGAATAAGGAGTTGCATGAGTTGGAGATTCCAGCTTTATGCAGATCTCTTTTCTGTTGTGAACATAGAAGTTTCTGTACATCTGGTTCTGCCAAAAGCCCTTAAATGTCTTCAATAACAAGATCTTAGCTCCTCACAAGTATATGAGCTGGCTGACAAGCAGTAATGAAAGGACAAAATGAAAGCATTTGTTATGGATAAGATGCTGTACTGTTATTATTGGGCAGACTTAATTTAACGAAGTAAAGAGCATTCCAGCTTTTGCACAAAAAGCAGGGGATTGTACTTTGGACACCCATTATTGCGTATATCTATATTTGTTGGAGCAGTTTGAATTATTTTACTTTTTCCTGTCTCAACGGCTGCTTGGTACTTCTGTATGTTGCTGCATTACGTATTTGGTAACTCAGTACATGCCCATGTTCTTCAAAAATCTACCAGCAGGAACTGTAAATAATTGAGGAACTATATGCAAACACAATTTCCTTGCAGGCTGCTCTGAAGGTTGCGGCACAAACGTATGGTGGTAAAGGTGAAGAGGTTGCAACCCTACGGATGGAAGCTGAGGTAATCACACTTTCTATCTTGTAGTTTGTCCTTTTTCTGTTGTATAATCCCATTCTTTTTACCTGGGCACCAACACTTCCGTTTTTATAGTTCATTACCCCTACCAATTT